GGGAGGATGAGGAGAAGGGAAGGGAATGTGTTCTCTAGTGCTGTTTTCATCTTGCAGTCGTATCTCATAGCCCAGGTAAAATGTCAAAAAGGATGCGAGTAAAATGAAAAAAGAAAAAATGTCTAAGAATGATGGGTGTTCTCAGAATAATCAAAGGGACTGGTGAGGAGTCTGGGATGGAGCTGTATTGTATTTGAATATATTTCATGTCTGCCACAGCTGCAAATGGCTCCTCAGACTTTCCCAGAATATGTTCCTCAGCATTCCCATTCCTCCAGTTCTCTAGATGATCATATTAATTATCTTTTTCTTCTAAAGTATCTGTTTGATAATTCACTTCTGATTGAAAAGAAAAGACCTTATTGCATGTGGAAACTCAGGACTTTTCTTGTTCAGTTTCAAAGTCTTGCCCTCCATTTTCTACTTGAAATTATGTAATTTAGAACAAAGACTCTGACACTTTCATTTTCACTTCATGGAACCCCCTTATTCGTGGAATCAGTCACATGAAAAAGAGGTACTCAAGTGAAAAACAAAGTGTAATAAAGAACAAACATTTCCATGTTCAGTTTGAAATGATGAAAGGCTTTGGAAGAAGGAATAACAATTGAATATAGTTGTTTCCAAAAGTTATATTTTGAAATTGTGCTGCCCATTGAGTTGTATTTTTAAAAGGTCATATTACATGCAATGAACACCATATAACAAAATAATTGTTTTTTCATCTTTAGACTGATTGACTCATATACAATAACTACCCATTGCAATCAACATTACAGAAGTAAATACCACACACTCTCCAAATTATACTGGTGACCCAGTCACTGGACTCATAGGCTCCTTACTCTCTAGAACGCTTAGTTTGGCTTATTGTCCAAAAAAACATATCACTTGCCAAAGTTGCATGGAGTAAGATTGAAATAGGGACATCTTTCATTCTGTGTTTATGCAGTCCCTAGCACAATGGGCCCATAGTCCATAACTGGGTCTTATAGTGCTTGTGTAATGCAAAGAATAAATAATAATCAGAGCTGTATTGAAAGGAATGGGAGAGAGCTTTTCCACGTGTTTCAAAGCTGGGAGAGAGATAAATCAGTTATAACCTTTAACAGGGTTAACAACAATCTATTTATAAACTTCCAAGAATGCTCACCTCTTTTACTTGATGAGCATGCCTCCCTCTCCTTGTCATGGCACTGAACAACCCTTAACACATTGCCTTTTAGGTACTTGGTTTTATTTCTGATCTAATCAAGAAAGTCACACAACTGCAACCCAAGCTCAAATTTAAAAGCCAGGTCAATGAGAAATCCATGTGCTTGGAAATAATAAATGCCATGATGAAAATTCTAAATAGGGTTAAGTGTTGTGGCCACCACTTACATTTGCTTTGGTAACAGGCCATAATTTCAGCTACTCTCTCTTTCCTGAGATTGTTGTGTGCTTAATTTCATCAGAAGGGACTAGCAGCATTAAAATGGCATCCAGCATGTGCCTAACACTTGTTTTATCCACCACTGGATTATAAAATAAACCAGCAATTGGGTTCAAATTGCAATGTCTGGGTTCATGTTCCTAAAAATAAAGGATCATTTGGACTGGGTTTTGGTTTAATTTAAGAGAGATCTGGGTTTGTATCACTTGGGATGGTGTTCTGAAAGCTCTTGTGGAGGTGTATACCACAACAAGAGATCTACTGCCATTGATTAATTACTATACAGCAATATTCATTTTCAAATTATTTTTCATATATGATGGTTCATTACTGGACTTTGATCCTGCAATGCCATGCATGCAAGGTGGTTCCTACAACTCCACAAAGCCCCACTGGCCCCATACATGACTGTGTGGATGCTGTGTGGATGTCTGCATGCTTCTCACTGGGGATTTGAACCTTGGATCATTAAGTTACCATTTGCAAGGAAGCAAGTTTTTGATCCATTGTAGTAAAGCCTGGAGTTTGTCCTTTTCTGTCTGGCGCATGTCGAACATATTTTGAAAGTAGCATGTTTGGATGGCTGCCTCACTTTTTAAATCCTTTTCTTGCCTTGGATCTATATTCATTGGGGCTGGTTATGGAGAAGATGGTGGACTCTGCTTAGTGTCTTTAAAGCTGAAAGATATTTGAATAGGCAAAACCTACTGTCAGGGGTTATACCAGGATTGTGGGCTGTTGGGGCTGGACCCTAGAAGATCACAACTCAAGGGATCAGGGGAAGACAAAGTACAGGCTAAAGCCAAGGTATCAGGAATAGGTAGGTCAAAAGGCTGTGGTCTATAAAATGTACGTAGTCCTCCTTAGTAAAGCCCAAAGGGTCAGGGGTGGTAAATGGGGACAGGGGGGCCAACTTTTTTTGCTAGGTGTCACAAATTTATCCCCATGTCATCTCCTAGAGTTACTCCAATCCCCTGATCTGCTCCACTGCTTCTGTTCCTGGCCCTGTGTTCCCATCCTAATCTATTGTTCTGTTTTTTGTTCCTTGCTTTTTCTGCCCTATTCCACTTTCCCCCTCCATTATTTGCTATGTGCCACATGTAGGGTGCAGACAGAAGTGACAATTTTTGCCTCATCTGGACACAGAAAGCAGTTTATAGCCATGACCAAACACAAATACATGGTTGCAAACAGCTTAAAAATGGCCAATCAGGTGAAAATCTGACATCTCATTGCTTGAGGGGTCAAGGTGAAGATGTTTCAAAAGAAAGCATCTTCTATAATTTCTGTTTGCCAGCCTTGGGAAGTTTTCAGAATAAGAGTGGGGAAGGGAGTGGAGGAAGTTCAGGAAGCATTCCCGCCTCCAAGGTAGGGGACTCCAATTCACCCACTCCATGCTTCAGTGCTGGCTGAGGAATCCCTAGAATGAGCTCCCTCTGCTCCCTTTTTCCCCTCCCATTCTGAAAATTTTGCAGCCTAGCAGGGAGGAGGGACCATTGCTAGGGGAAACTGTCTGCAGGCTCAGCAGCTCTATTCCCCTCACCCGTGGAATCAACATTGAACTTCTGTTTGTTCCAAGGGATCGTTGTAGCTCAGGGCACTCTTGCAAAGCGGTACCAGTTACAGCAGGGAGCTGCACTTCTTTCTGCACCCATAGAGGCTGCCCATGTCACTTGTGGCATGTGTGCTACAGGCTGGTCACCTCTGAGCTATGGGGTTTGGATCAGACAGCTGCATCTGTAAGGGAGCAATTGCCAAACTAAAGTCAAGAAACAAGTCTCAGAAGATCAGGGTCTAGACTGGGGCTAAGACCAAGAAGGCAAGGAGGGGGTCAGGACTCAGGGCTAGAGAGACAAGCATCTGTCCTGATGCATAGCCTCGTAGGCCCTGCAATAGCTGTTGCTTTTAAGCAGGCAGCCACACCCATGCAGGCAGCTGGGACCAGCCGTGACAATTTTTAAATGCCTCATCTGACCAATTTCAAAATTTCAGAGAGTACCGGCCATGGGTAGGTGTGGTGGTGGGGGGGGGGG